CCCCAAAACCCCAAAACCCCAAAACCCCGCATCACTGAATTCTAGAAATATATAGTTAGTGAAAATTAAAGCACAAATATTTAATCAGTTAATAATAATACTGAGTCATTCCATATCCTAAATGCTAGAGAGCTTATGCGAATGCTTCTTCTTTTTGGTCTTCAAGTCTTTTATGTGAAGAGGGTTGCTGATGATGTTCTAGTTTACGACTCCCCCGCCACTGTTAGAGGCTCCACCTAGACTCGCTCTTTTTCCTTGGGCTTGTCTGTCGTTTTTAGCTACTTCTCTGGCAGAGTTGAAATTGCTAGTCAGAGGGCTTTGGGTGTTTACATTGTTAATATTCGTGAGATAATTGTTAAAGTTATTGCTGATCTATTCGTTCTCTGAAATCGATAGTCATTTCAGCAAGTCAAAGAACGACTGGTTTTGCTGGTCTTCATTCGCGGTGTTCACCTTGTTGCTTATCTGATGAGTGAGGAGGCCTTGGCTTCCTCCAATAATCTAGGTGTTGTTGTGCGAATGCTTTGAATTGTTCAAACCTCCTGCTCCATTCCCAGCAGCTCCGTTACTTTGACTGAGATTGTTAATGTTGTTTTGACTAGTATTAATGTTGGCAGTATTGTTTATCTGCTAGACACTTGTGTTGTGTTGATTCATAGCACTGTTGTTATGGTTGCTGCTTGCCTAAAGACTAGCATATCTCTGATTAAAGCTGCTCTTCCGTTGAAGATCTGTCTCCATTATCAAGTACTCGTACTCCTTTTAAGTGAAACTTGACTTAATAGCTTCTTTTAGGGACTCTTGCTTGTTGTGATCCTGTCCGAATTCCTCCATGTATTTAATTGCATAGGCTGGCAGCTGATTCTGCTTTTGGCCAGTTGGGTCGTCGTTTAGACCCAGAAGTTGCATAAGCTGAGGACTCGTTGACACTGGCCGAGAGAATAAATACTTTGAAGTCTGAATATCACTATTTGGCCTTACTATATCTTTATTCTTGTAGGTGTTGAATAGAGTCTGCTTCTGATTGGTATTTTGAGACTATGTGCCTTTATTCGGTGTTTTATTTATGTCTTTTTCTTTTGACTGCTGAGTATTGGTTGGTGTGAGTAAGGAAGCATAGTTGAATTCTCTCAGAGGGATTTTGTCACCATAGGCTATATTAACCAATTTCTAATTCAATGCTTCCAGATCTATGCATCTTTTGAGCAGACCATCAGCTTAATCAGCTTTCCTCTTGTGTAGATTAGTAAGTTTTTGCAAATGAAAGTTCATTTTCCTGAGCACTTCAAGTCTTTCCTTGAGTTGCTTATTCTCCTCACTAAACCTATACTTCTCCTTTTCAAGCTCCTTTTGCAAGACCACATATTTGTCCTCTAGCTGTCTCACCTTGATTGTAGAGTTGCCGACTGTCTTTAAATGTCTATGCTTAATGTTGAGCTCTTCCGCTAATACTTGGTTCTTCTGCTCCAGCATGTTAAAGAATGGCAGGTGATGCTATATTGTGTTCTGTAAATCTATTAACAAGATTAAATAATAGTAGGGGGACATACATTCAAGATCCTATTCCAGTTGGAACTTCTGGAAGTGCAGTTGAGTTATCTCCTCTCTGTGTCTTCTATTCTCAATCGTCAGGTTGCTGATCAGTTTGTCCTTGTAGTCTCCTACCATATTCAAAGTGCTGTCCTGCATCAACAAGGTGCTCATCTGTGCGAAAGGCTGATGCGAAGACATATCCCCGCCACCTCCCTATATCTGCGAGTTGTGATTGTTCTAATGAGATGGAGAACTCAGGTGCGGCTGAATGTTGTGAGAAGTCATGTTCTGACTGTGATTATGAATGTAAGAATGGTTATGAGGAGAAGGGTGTGAGTCTATGTTAAGCTTCATATTGCTCTCAGCTTGCTAGATGACTATCTGAGAGTTCTTAAACAGCTTTTCTCTGATTTCCTTGTTCTTACGCTCCAGTTCCTCTCTCTTCTTTTCTTCCTGCTCTAGAGTTGCTAAAATGGAGGGGATTAAAATACATGATATTACAGATAAGATCTTAGAACTTGCTTTGGTACTGCTGGTAAAAATCTATGTTAAGATTAGGAGAACTATTTAATCTGAGTAGATTTTCATTGGAGGACTCAGTTTGAGCGGTTTTGAGTGGGCGCTTTGACTTAGATTTATTGCGCTTTACACTACTCCCTGTAGGCAAGTATCCTCCAAGCGTATTCTAAGGAGATCCTACATTTCCCTGCATGTTATAAGATCCATTGCCGACTCCCCCTCCAGGGTTGCTCATAAAGGTAAGTCCAAACACTCCTCTGTTCGAAGCACTTGACATATCCTGGCTCAACTCATTTCTATGATGATGAGCCAAATGCAGACTACTCCTCATCTGAGATGCTGAATTCATCAAATCGAATTCCTGAGACCTGTTTCCAGTTAATGTGGGCATATTTCTGTTATTGATAAAGTGAGGGTTCTCTAGTTCAAGCAGATTTTTCAAAGACTCCACTTTATTGCTGCTGTTATTGTGCGGGAGAGTCATGTTGAATGCTCTGGTCATGGGATTGTTTTGCGATTGATGCTTCAGCTGATTAGTTAGAGTCTTGTATCGAAGGCTCTCTCTTTCGGTGTTCATCTCGAATGTGTTTGGCGAATGAAAAGCATTGGTCAACGTCTAGCTATCCAAATTTTGAAATTAACTCGAAGATTACTGATGTCTTGAAGAGTTCATAAGAGAAGAATTAGAAAAGTTTTAAACGATGTGTCCTTGCTTGATTGCTGCGCTGTTACTTGCGTTCATTAATTTTTAATTAATTTTATTCTCATTATCCTATGCTTTTTACCCAATTTACAACTGCGGGGTTTTGGGGTTTTGGGGTTTTGGGGTTTTGGGGTTTTGGGG